GATCGTTGAGAGGTTTGATCGAATCGATCGTTGCTCTTTTCTCGAACGAGATGACGTCGCCGTTCAGATTAGGCATGTTATTTCTCGTTCATTTTAGCGATTATTGTGTAAGAGAATCCGACCCCCCCTCCTTCTAGCGCCAAACTGTGGGAACCGAGATCCACACTGTCAATTTTCCGTCAAATATGGAAACTTAGGAAAAAACCCTAATTTTCCCGAGGTCCTGGATCTCTGCGGAAATCACTAAAACAAATGAAATTAATAGAATATGGACGAAAAACGAAGAACAGAGAATAAAGAATTTGTATGAAAGCTTTTATTAAGTAAGAAATCGACAACTGTTACAAAGAGAATTGAAGAACTTAGACGTCGAGACGTTCTAAGGATCTGGATTGCTATTCTAAACGCTAAGTCCTAAATTCCTAAGCTAACAGCCGTCTTTTTAGGTCTGATTTTCGTCCCCCTCCTCTTCCCTATGCTTCTGGCATATATACTCCTTTCCCAAGCGACTCAATCTTTCCATTTTGCCCGGATTCGAGTTTATCGGGAAACTTCCTTTTATCTTCATCCTTCCTTTCTTCCCGCAGAAATCTTCTATTTATCTTCAAACCTGCCTTTTATCTTCCTTCTGCGTCAAAACGTTATCGTATCTTCGGGTTTGATTTCGTTAATAACGCGAGATAGGTTTTTATCGTGTTTTAGGACCTTTCGGGCCGTTTTACGATAAAAACCGTTTTACGATTTTATACGAGATCGCTTCCTGATCCGATGTCGTTTTTTACGATTTACTCGACGTTTTTTTATTAAAAACGCGTTTTTATGATCTTATCGAAAGATCTCGGATAAATCGTATAGTTTAGGTGATGTTCGGTATCTTGCTTAACCGTTACCGTTTTATACGATTTCTTCGAGTTCTTTTCGAGAAAGCGGAGTTTTACGGTTTTTTTCGTAAAACTCGAACGATAAGTCAGGTCGAGACGAAACGAGAGACATTTCGGCCGTGGTTCAGAATGTGACCATGTCGAAGGGCGTAAGTTTCAAATCGGGGATGCGGGAGATCGAGGCTCGGGATGATCGGTTCAGCGTACGGAGAATCGAGTCGGTCCGGTCCAGCTGTCCGAGGAGCTTCTAGTTCGCCTGCTGGCGAACTAAGCCAGCTTGGCTTAGTATGCCAGCAGGCGAACTAGTCGGGGTGTTCCTAGTTCGCCTGCTGGCGAACTAAGCTGAGCTGGCTTAGTTCGCCAGCAGGCGAACTAGTCGAGAGACTCCTAGTTTGCCTGCAGGCGAACTAGTCGAGGGACTCCTAGTTCGCCAGCAGGGGAACTAGACGAGAGACTCCTAGTTCGCCTGCTGGCGAACTAAGCCGGGCCGGCTTAGTTCGCCAGCAGGCGAACTAGTGGAGAGGTTCCTAGTTCGCCTGCTGGCGAACTAAGCCAGCTCGTCTTAGTTCGCCAGCAGGCAAACTAGTTGTGACTAGTTCGCGTTTTGCGGCGGTTTCAGTTTTTGCGATTTTGTAAAACGATTCTCGAGTTTTATAAAACGGTTCTTCGAGTTTTTATAAAACGATCGTCGAGTTTTATAAAACGATTCTCGAGTTTTATAAAACGATTCTCGAGTTTTATAAAACGATTCTCGAGTTTTATAAAACGATTCTTCGAGTTTTTATAAAATGACCGTCGAGTTTTATAAAACGATTCTCGAGTTTTATAAAATGATTCTCGAGTTCTATAAAACGAAACTCGAGTTTTATAAAACTGTTCTTCGAGTTTTTATAAAACGATCGTCGAGTTTTATAAAACGATTCTCGAGTTTTATAAAATGATTCTCGAGTTTTATAAAAAAATTTTTGCGGAAAGTAATGATTCCCTTTTTACAGAAGTTATCGTAGACTTTGATTTCTAGATTACGGTTTTCGACACCAACACTCAGTTTCCTTATTTTACGGAAAATCGACAGTGCGAATTTTGGTTCCCACAGTTTGGCGCTAGAAGGAGGGGGGGTACGGATTACTATAACTCATAGCCGCTAATCGCTTGATCAAAACGATGTCTGGATATATTTTACGGAAAATCGACAGTGCAAATTTTGGTTCCCACAAGATGGTTCTTTGTATACAACTTTGCATTGCATAACATAAAAAGATAAGTTGCTTCCTGATCCGAATATGATCTAATTGCGAGAAATTTGTTTGTGGTGGGTGACTGAACTCAGGTCGTGAGCTGCCTACGTACCCTCGTCAAGGGATCAACTCTAAATGCAGTTCGATTGGTTTCCCAGTATATAGGGTCATGTTTTTCGATTTATTCGTGTTCATGACTACGATTCTTGTTCTTCTTGGGGCTTCTTGACTGGTCCTATGGGTTTGGCTCGATGACTTTGAAGCTCGAGAGATAACATGTTCTAGAGTTCTTTTAACTCCCTTTTATGGTTTCGATTCCTCTTGGTGTAGGGAACTTCAGATATTGATGATAAGTTGAGGGTGCTGCTTTCATGATGCATAGCCATGGTCTCCCGAGGATGGCGATAAATCGGGTCGATTTATGACGATAAATTCGACGAATTTTCTTACATCTCCAGCGGTTACGGCGAGTTTGATGTATCTGAGAGAATAGGTAGTCTCTCCTACTAATCTGATTAGTGGGGTTCTTTCTTGTATGAGGAGTTTTTTTGGTGAACCCATTCTTTTGAATGCGTTGTAGAAGAGAACGTCTGCGGAGCTTCCGGTCTCTATCATGATTCTGGATAATTTTCATCCTCCGACGTCGAGTCGTATAACGAGTGGGTCGTCTTGTGGTTTATCGAGATCGGCGCTTTCATTTTCGTCAAAGGTGATTTTGTGATCGGGGCCTGACAAAGGTTCCCATATGCCAATGTTGCTTTCTGCTCTTCATTGGTGCGCTTTGATGGAGTTGACTGAGTTGCAGAATTTTGATCCTCCATAAATGAAATCGATTCTTTTTCCCTTTTCTTGTAGTGCGTTGGAAAGTACCTTTTTTAGGTCAGTGTCGACTGGTGGTGTTCTTGCCCCCCATACAGGTTGGGTTTAAGAAAACGCGGCTGTGCTTTTTCTTACGTATCGGTTCTCCAGTAGTTTTCGAATCTTGCAGATTTTTTTGTTCTCCTTCGGCTCGTGGTGGTATCTGGTTGTTCGGTTGAGAGGAGGATTACATGTCCTATCGAGCCCTTCCGGGCCTTGTATTGTCATCATGATGTCGATACTTATTAGTTATGTGGTTTGATTTGGCGCATTTTTACGTTCGGCCCCCATAAGATCATGTCGACTCTTTTCTTTGGGGCTGGAGGCAGAGATTCTGGTGTTTCCGGTTCGACTTCTTTGCCTTTTTTGTCTTTATTTTTGACTTTTGGGGTTGTCGGAGTTTCTTCTTCCTCTGCTTTCTCACCATTCTCTTTATTTTCTTCCTTGTTGCGGAGTGCTGCGCGACATTCTTCGGTTAAATGCCCCTTTTGCTTGTGGAAGGCGCAATACTTACTCGGTTCATGCGTCGATTGTTTGTTCTGCGACGACGAGTCTATGGCGTATGAATGCTGTCCTTTGGTAGTCTGTTCCTTCAGAGTGTTTGGTTTTTTAGTTATTTCGTTCTTGTTGGCGTGGTATTGTTCTTTCAAGACTGATATTTCTTCTTCGAGGGTTGCGAAGTAGGATGCACAATACAGCGCGTCGTCTAGTGATGTGGGAGCTCGGACCGTTATTTCTTCCCTAAACTTGGAAGAAAACAAGACACCCTTTTTCAGAGCTGCTAACGCGACTACCTCGTTTAGGCTCGATATTTTGGATTTGAGTTCTTTGAACTTGTTTATGTAAGCTCTCAGTGGTTCGAAGGGTGCTTGCTTGAGGTTCCACAGGTCGGCTTTGGTGGCACGCGTTTCTATAAACACTGAATACTGCTTCAAGAATGCCGATACTAGTTGGGTAAAATCATCGATCGAATTCCCTTCAAGGTCGGCGAACCATTCCAAAGCGGGGACTTTGAGATTTTTGGCTACGAAACGGCAGTAACCCGCTTCCCTTTCTTCGTCGTTGAGGTGTGCTCTTGACACGGCCAAGCGGAAGGCTCGCACATGCACTTTTGGGTCAGAGTTGCCCGAATATTCCAGAAATTTAATCTTACTAACGTCGTGTAGCCTTACACTGGTTATTCGATTTGTGAATGGGGTTCTGCGAGTTTCCTCGATAACTTGATCGATATTGGGGGCGGAACTCGTTTCCATATGCACGATCGCGTGTATCCTTTTGAGCTCGGCGTCGTTCTTTTCGGCGTAACTTTTGAATGCTCCTGCTTGGGTCGGGGATCTTTGATCTTCTCTCTATGGATTTTCGTGCAACGATCTGAATGGATCGTATGCCGAGATGGGATCTTGTGGTGCTGCGGGTCCTCTTCGTTGAGGTACATCGCCTCCAAAGGAGAATCGGTCATCTCGAGCTCGATGTTGCGGCGGAGGTGTTTCTGCTGGTCCGTTTCAGGTTGGGATCAGGGTAGTTCTGATGCCCTGGATTTTTTTTTCGACCTCACCCTGACCGTTATAATCAAGACTTCGATATATCGTCCCTTTCGGGGGGTCTGTCGCGAATTTTCCCCCACGTAGCGTCCCGATGGGGTGCTTCGGGGGAGGCGAAGGCTCCGCGGTTTCGAGGGAGCGGTGTTCGCGGGGATGGATTCGAGTGTTGTCAGACTCTTTCCCTAGAATTTGCTCGGTATATGGTGAGCTTCCTCTTGGTTTGTTCCAGGCAGCTGGGGATGGATCGGTGAACAATCTCTTGGTCTCGAGATTTATCAATGAGCTTCGAAATCATTCCCCAGAGTTCCTCTATTTCGTCTCGAGTTCGGGCCAAGTGAGTTGGAGATCTCTGTCTCCCTGTTCGGGTCAGATCTTCGGGTGCCGCTCTTAATAAAATGACTTGGCGCTACTTTTCATTATAGCAAAAAACAAGAAACTTTTTGTACATCTACTAAAAAAACAGATTGATATTCTCTGGTCTCTCAGCCGTCTCTATTCTCTCGAACCACATCGAATGGCTCAGATTTTCTACTACTTTTGATTCTCAACAACCCATACAGCTTCCTTAACTCTTTCACCGCCGGCGAGCTTCCTCCTCCTCCGCCAAGAGAATTACTTATATCTACACCACCATCCTCCGTTGTCGTTGATCTTCTCGAGCCGCTTTCGAGAATCAAGCGCCGTCCAGCTCCTCTCCTATCTCCGTCAATCTGCAGAGCGTTGATGACATGCTTCAACGCACGAGTCGGAGAACTGCGATTCACAATCATCAGCTCTCCGATCTCGGCAGGACTCAAAGACGCGCCGTTTGGGAATATCTCTTCCACCAGCGGGAATAGCTTGTGCTCTTTCACGCCTAAGTAGTTGTTAGCGAGAGTTCTAAACACCATGAAATCACATAACAGGAAGTGGATGTGAACGTCGACACGACCCGGTCGGAGCATAGCCGGGTCGATTTGTTCTTTTCCCGTCATCGTGAACACCATGATCCGTTCATCTGCTGCGCAAGAGGTGAGGATACTGTCAGTGAAATTCAAAATCCCTGAGACGCTCACAGCCGTTGGTTTCACAGAGATGAATCGATCGAGATCCTCGATGACAATCACGGATTTGCGTCTGGTCTGTAACAGAAGCATCTTAAGGTCCGAACAAAAGGTAGCTCCGTTTCGAGACGCGGCCAAGACGATTATAGTATTGTTTCCCCTTGAGGAACGATTCCAGATCGGATTTGACCTTGTTTTTCAGATCAGTTTCCATGGCCATATTGTCGAACGTACAAGGGTGATTGAACGGAATCGATCTCTACCGTCCGTTTTTCTTCCTCTTCATGTCATCATCGTCTCCGACGTTCATGAACAGCTTCAGCTCTGTATTCCCATGTTCAAGCTCATCAGCCACTGTGTGTATATGCTGTAGATAAGGACCAAGAATTCTCCGTTTATCGGCTTTACGAATCTTCAAAACAAAACTCTTTGCTCCGTCTTTGTTTTCTTCGATGTACCAACAAACACTAGCACCGAGAAACTCGTCTCCGACAATCTGGTTCCGATCTAAGCAGAGGATGATCTCACTGACCTTTTTCCGGTGAAGAGGTTGGTGAAATCTGAATCTTGGATCGAGCTCAAGGAATTAAGATACATGTAGACTTTCATGTACAGATTGTTCTCTTGCATGTTGTCGTTGATTTCTGGTACCTTGTAGGATGGGTAAACATGAAGCACATCTACGATCGTCCTTCTCCATTTCTTTATCATGGAAATGAAACCAGTTTTGAATAACACAACTCTAGCAAGGAACAAAACAAACCCCACCACAAGCAACCACCAAAACGAGTCCCATAGAATCATCCCCATTGAATTTTTTTTTCAAAAGAATAAACAAAAGGGGTTTTTGCCAAAACTAACCCATAACTTGGTTTTAACCCCAATACTAGACCCCAACTTGAATCAAATGCAAATTTAACCTAAAAGGGCTATGAAATTACAGTATAGTGCTCTGTGACCAAACAAAAAAACAGAAGACATTTTTACGAATATAACCCCAGTAAGTTGTCTCGGTCGGGCTGAGTTACTTTTCAGTCGTCTGGANTTTTGCCAAAACTAACCCATAACTTGGTTTTAACCCCAATACTAGACCCCAACTTGAATCAAATGCAAATTTAACCTAAAAGGGCTATGAAATTACAGTATAGTGCTCTGTGACCAAACAAAAAAACAGAAGACATTTTTACGAATATAACCCCAGTAAGTTGTCTCGGTCGGGCTGAGTTACTTTTCAGTCGTCTGGACGACTGAAATGTAGTTGTCTGGACGATTGAATCTTAAAAATAATTTATAAATTCTGTACAAAATATTTTGATGAGTGAAAAATTAAAAACATGTAATTATAAACATTTATAAGTGATATAAATTAAGAAATGATGAAGTTTCAGTCGTCTAATTGTACCGAACCGTTAATTTTAACATTTTACGTTTTAACCTAACTAGATTTTTACCGGACATATAAAAGTTATTTTTTTCATTTTTTCACAATTTTCCGAAACCCTAGCGCCGTTTCTCTCCAAGGACGATTGTAAAGGCGATTTCGACGAATCTCTCCGATTTCGACGAATCTCTCTGTTTTCGCCGGTAATCTCTCCGATTTCGACGAATCTTGTTTTTCTTTCATGTCTTAGAGTATTTTCGTAGTTTAAACTGACCATCCCCTTCCTTTTTTTCAGATCTGAAATCTCGTAGCCCTTTCCTTCGCCGCCGGTATGTTATATCTTATGTTTTAAGGCGTTTAGCCGCCGGAAAACCCTAAAAATTGTAGTATTGACTCTTCTTTTCCCTTCGATATGCAGATCTGTAACCGCTAGGGACCACATCTTCTCCGACTAAATCTTCTCCGACTGTAAGTCGTCATAGTAGTCTTCTCACTTCCTGGAAGCCTTCTACGAAGTCTTACTCTCTGGACGACTTACTCTGTAGAAGACTTCCACGAAGTCGTCTGAGTAGTCTTCTCACTTCCTGGAAGCCTTCTACGAAGTCTTACTCTCTGGACGACTTACATGTAAGTGTGGGAGTCGATTTCACCCTACTGTCAAATAAATCGTAAAAAAGGAAACTTCGGGAAAACCCTAAGTTTCCAGAGGAACCGGCTATCTGCGAGAACCGCACAACGAAAATAAGATGACGAAAATACTTAGAATCTAAATGAGAATAAACGGAAACAGAGAGCAAAGAGGTTCTTATTCCGAATCTGCGTTGAACTGGTACAAAAAGAATTGTCGAAAGCGTAAGACCTAGAAAACCCTAATTGAGACGCAGCTCGCTAACAGAAAAACAGAAATATTCCTAAATGCTAGTTTTGGTGGTGAGAGCTCTGAATTTCGCGTGTCTGCTTCTGCCCTAGACCTCCTCTTTATATACTCCTCGTCTTGGCAATCCGATCTTTCCATTTCGCCCAGATTTGACTTAAATCGGGAATTTTCCATTCTTCTCGATCCTTCCTTTTCTTCCGCGGAAATCTTCTATTTCTCTTTAAACCTTCCTTTTATGTTCAAACTTAACTTTTATTTTCTTTCTGCGAGTAAACCGTCAAAATGTTATCAAATCTGCGGGTTTGACTCCGTTGAAATCGCGAGGCGGGTTTTATCGCGTTTTAGGTCCTTCCGGGCCGTTTTGCGATAAAAACCGTTTTCCGACTTTCACGGGATCGTTTCCTGACCTGACGTCGTTTTTAATAAATTTCTCGAGTTAATCGCAAAGTTTTACGATTTACTCGACTTTTTATTAAAAACGCGTTTTTTACGACTTACTCGGCGTTAAAATAATTTTCGCGCAAATTTATGATTTCAACGAGAAATCTCGAATAAATCGTATAGTTTAGGCATTGTTCGGTGTTTCGTTTAACCGTTGCCGTTTTATATGATTTCCTCGAGTTCTTTCCGAGAAAAAGAAGTTTTACGGTTTTTATCGTAAAACTCGAACGGTAAGTCGGATCGAGACGAAACGAGAGACATTTCAGCCGTGGTTCAGAAAGCGACCGTGTCGTAAGTTCGAATCGGGGATGCGGGAAATCGAGGCTCCGGGAGGTCTCTAGTTCGCCTGCTGGCGAACTAGTCGAGGGAGTCTAGTTCGCCTGCTGGCGAACTAAGCCAGCTTGGCTTAGTTCGCCAGCAGGCGAACGAGTCCGGAACCTTCTAGTTCGCCTGCAGGCGAACTGGTTGCGACTAGTTCGCGTTCTGCGGCGGTTTCGGTTTTTCGCGGTTTTGTAAAACGATTTCTCGAGTTTTATAAAACGATCTTCGAGTTTTATAATACGATATCTCGAGTTTTATAAAACGATCTTTCGAGTTTTATAAAACGATCTTCGAGTTTTATAAAACGATCTTCGAGTTTTATAAAACGATCTTCGAGTTTTATAAAACGATCTCTCGAGTTTTATAAAACGACCTTTCGAGTTTTATAAAACGATATCTCGAATTTTATAAAACGATCTTCGAGTTTTATAAAACGATCTTCGAGTTTTATAAAACGATATCTCGAATTTTATAAAACGATCTTCGAGTTTTATAAAACGATCTTCGAGTTTTATAAAACGATCTTCGAGTTTTATAAAACGATATCTCGAGTTTTATAAAACGATCTTCGAGTTTTATAAAACGATCTTCGAGTTTTATAAAACGATCTCTCGAGTTTTATAAAACGACCTTTCGAGTTTTATAAAACGATATCTCGAATTTTATAAAACGATCTTCGAGTTTTATAAAACGATCTTCGAGTTTTATAAAACGATCTTCGAGTTTTATAAAACGATCTTCGAGTTTTATAAAACGACCTTTCGAGTTTTATAAAACGATTTCTCGAGTTTTATAAAACGACCTTTCAAGTTTTATAAAATGATATCTCGAGTTTTATAAAACGACCTTTCGAGTTTTATAAAACGATCTCTCGAGTTTTATAAAACGACCTTTCGAGTTTTATAAAATGATTCTCGAGATTCATAAAACTGTTGCGTTTATGTGTTTGGGGAGAATTTTGGCTATTGATTCCGTCGTACCGATTTTGACCCCAACAGTAAGTCGTCCAGAGAGTAAGACTCTGTAGAAGACTTCCAGGAAGTCGTCTGAGTAGTCTTCTCACTTCCTGGAAGCCTTCTACGAAGTCTTACTCTCTGGACGACTTACATGTAAGTCGTCCAGAGAGTAAGACTCTGTAGAAGACTTCCAGGAAGTCGTCTGAGTAGTCTTCTCACTTCTTGGAAGCCTTTTACGAAGTCTTACTCTCTGGACGACTTACATGTAAGTCGTTCAGAGAGTAAGACTCTGTAGAAGACTTCCAGGAAGTCGTCTGAGTAGTTATCTCACTTCCTGGAAGTCGTCTGCTAGTCTTCTATAGTATTTAGAATAGTGCGCTACCTTTGTGGTTGAGATGGTTGTTTGTGATTGTTTGCAGGCCTTAAAATGGATATAT